TATCGGAGGCTTCCAAAACGCCTTTGTATCCCGGGTGCAAAAAATACTCCAAACTATCGGCCGTGCTAACACTTTTCAACATTAAGTCGAAGCATGGGTGGACGGACATCGGTTTTACTTCTTTGTTGACCGCATTAAGTGATATGTTGCCTGATGGGAATGAAATTCCTAAGTCTTATTATTACGCAAAGAAGCTCATGTGTCCCTTTGGTTTGGAGTATAAGAAGATACATGCATGTCCTAATAACTGTATTTTGTATCGAAATGAGTATGAAAAACTGCAGGAGTGTCCACGATGCAAGCGGTCGCGATACAAGCGCATGAGTTGCAATCCTAGCACGGAGGGACCTCCTGCTAAGGTGTTGTGGTATCTTCCCATTATTCCAAGGTTTAAGCGTCTGTTCTCAATACCAAAAGACGCTAAAAACTTAAGGTGGCATGCAGAGGGAAGAAAGAAAAACAGAATGCTGAAGCATCCAGCTGACTCTCCACAGTGGAAGAACATTGATTTGAAGTTTGAGGAATTTGGTAATGAAGTCAGAAATTTAAGGCTTGGGTTGTGCACGGACGGGATGAATCCATTTGGCACTCTTAGTACCCAACACAGCACATGACCGGTACTTTTAGTGATTTATAATTTGCCTCCTTGGCTGTGCATGAAACGTAAGTATGTAATGCTTTCATTGCTAATAACTGGTCCTAAGCAACCTGGAAACGACATAAATGTTTACCTTGCGCCGCTTATTGACGACTTGAGAAAGATGTGGGACGAAGGGGTTTCCGTTTTCGATGATCATCAGAACGAGATGTTCACATTGCGTGCAGCCCTTATGTGGACCATGAATGACTTCCCTGCATATGGCAACTTGTGTGGGTACAAGGTCAAAGGGAAAAAAGCATGCCCCATATTTATTGATGACACATCAAGCGTATACCTGACTCATTCTCATAAAGATGTCTACCTACGAACTCGAAGGTTCCTTAGGCGTGATCACCCGTACCGTAAGCAAAAAAAGGCTTTCAATGGAACCGTGGAATAGGATACTGCGCCTAGATCATTGACTGGTGCTGAGATTAGTGCTCGGGTGAAAGGGATACGAACGGTGTTTGGAAAATCAGAAAAAACTGTGGTCTCAGCTGCTCTGTTTAAGAAAGAATCAATCTTTTGGAAGCTGCCGTACTGGAGAGAAAATGACGTTAGGCATTATCTTGATGTGATGCATATAGAGAAGAATGTGTGTGATGCTCTTTTGGGGACGCTTATGAATATCCCAGGCAAAACAAAGGACGGAAAGGGTGCACAATTAGATTTGAAAGAAATGGGGATTTGTCTAGAATTGTGGCCTCAAGAAAAGGTTAGAAAGGGGAAGGAGCCGAGAATAGAAGATGAAAGTGTTTCGAAAAAAGGGAAGGAGAAGAGCAAGGGAAAAGGAAAGGCCAAAGATGCGTCAAAGAAGAAAGTTAAGGGTAAAGGGAAGGATGAAAAGAATTATTTACCCCCGGCTTGCTATACATTGTCAAGGGTAGAGAAACTTATGTTTTGTGCATGTTTGTACGACATTAAGGTTCCATCAGGGTACTCATCTAACATGAAAAGATTTGTAACCTTAATTGGAGAATTGAAGCTGACAAGTATGAAATCCCATGATTGTCACATTATGATGCAAGTATTCCTACCAATTGCAATCCGTGGTATTCTACCGAAACACGTGAGGGAAGCGATTACAAGCCTTTGTTAATTTTTCAATACAATTTTTAGCAAAGTTCTTGTCCTTGTATACTAGATGCTTTGCAAGCAGATGTGGTTGTGACTTTGTGCAAATTTGAGATGTATTTCCTACCCTCATTTTTTGACATAATGGTTCATCTGGTTCTTCATTTGGTGCGTGAGATTAAGTTATGCGGTCCAGTGTTCATGAGGTGGTGCTACCCTTTTGAAAGACACATGGGTACGTTACAAGATAAAGTACGGAACCGAGCTCACCCTGAAGGAAGTATAATGCAAGAAACAGTGGGTGAGGAGATAAGTAACTTTGTGGCGGACTACATAGCCCTTGCCCAACCTATTGGTCTTCCTACTTTTCGACATGAAGGTAGACTTTATGGTCATGGCACAATAATTGGGTCGAAACGAATGTCACCAGACCGAGATCAGTTCTTACAAGCACACCTTTATGTGTTGCACCATGTTTCAGATGTGCACCCATATTAAGACGAGCACATGGCTTGTTTACGTGCCGAATTTCCATCCAAAGGTGAAAGGGCACTTATGCAGTTGCATAATAAGAAATTTGTTGATTGGTTTCGTGAACGAATAATGAGTGGATTGAATGATACTAATGTGAACGATACAGTACGGTGGCTTGCGTACGGTCCTAGGGATGATGTCCGTTCATTTGAGGGATATGACATCAATGGATACACTTTTTGGACCGAGGCTCGTGATTTGAAATCTTCCTCCACCCAAAATAGTGGTGTAACTCTTGTGGCATCGTCAAGGGAGTTTTCAAGTTCTAAGGATAAATCACCTGTCGATGCAGAGTTGTCATACTATGGTCGAATTCAAGAAATATGGGAGCTTGATTATTGTGACTTCACGGTTGCTCTTTTCAAGTGTAAGTGGGTTGATAATATCAGGCGTAACGTCAAACATGAGGACTTTACTCTTGTAGATCTTGTCCACTTGAATGATAGTGCGGAACCATTTATCCTTGTATCTCAAACTAAGCAAGTGTTCTACGTAACTGACCCAATGGATTCAAAATGGTCTATAGTGCTAGCTGGCAAAAGAAGAATCCAAGGCATTGGAGATGTTGAGGATAAGGAAGAATATGATGCGTTTGATGATTCAGCACCTTTCACTGTTCCTAGACCTGTTGTACTAAATGACATAGACAACGAAGCAGGTTATATGCGATCAGACCACAACGAAGGAATTTCAGAATGAGGTAGTTTGATTAAAAGTTAGTAATGGTTTCATTGCAAATATAGTTTAGTTATCATGTATATAGGAGCATAAGTAGGCGAAAATGATCTATTTGTAGTTTGAAATTGCCTAAGTGTACTCATTATCATGCATATACAAGGTTATAGGACCATAAATAGGTGAAATTGGCTTAAATAGCTTCTACTTAACCTAATTATTTTGTTTTGTGTATGAACTAACATTTATTCATTCTAACAACCTACATTCAATATATTTAACATGTTTGTAGTTTGAAATTGCCTAAGTGTACTCATTATCATGCATATACAAGGTTATAGGACCATAAGTAGGTGAAACTGGCATAAATAGCTTCTACTTAACCCAACTCCTTTATTTTGTGTATAAACTAACATTTATTCATTCTAACAACCTATTTTCCATATGTAGATAGAAATTGGCATTTTGTACTCAGTATCATGCATATACAAGGTTATAGGACCATAATAAGTAGGTGAAAATGGCTTAAATAGCTTCTACATAACCACAATAACTATCATGCATATACTTTACTATACACTAATAATGTTTTATGATTTCTTTGACAGGTGCTTATATCTCATGGCGGACGATCATGATCCTCCTTTGGTAGAGGACATTGACGATGATGAGTATGAGGACGAGTACGAGGATGACGACTCCGATGATAGTGATGTGCCTTATGATGTGAATAAGGAGGATGACTTGGGTGAGCCAGAGGATCAGGCTCAAGATGAGTTCGAGCGTAGGCTTGACGATTATGAAATTTCAGCTGAACGTGCACCGGCCATAGTAAATACAGCACGTGAGATTGTTGGTGAGAACCCGACTCCTGAAAGTCAAGGCCAAGGACAAGATGAAAACAACACAGGTGGTGGAGGGGGGGAAAAGGCACCGGCTGAAAGAAAAAGAAGGGGTCCGACGAAAAGCTTTAAGAAACCGGACGGTCCCATGGTCTTGGAGTATGACAACAAAGGCCAACCCGGGCCCAAATGGCGTCGACAATATGCTAATCAAGTTGGCATATGTTCGGGGAAAATCCCCATTACACTTGTAATGCGGCAAGTACCTCCGGGTTTGATTCAAGCATTTTGGGATGATACAAGGGTAAGTGTGTTTTTGGCACATTTAGACAATTTAAGATACCTTAAACTTATGGTTGTTACTAAATAAAAACTAATAATGGTTTTAATTTGTGCTTGTAGAGGCAGTTTTCTATTCCTAATGATCCCGAGAATAAAAGGGTGTTTGTCTCTTTATTAGCGGAAAGATTCAGAGGCTTTAAGACCAAGTTGACTAATCGGTGGATCCACAAGAAGAAGAAGGTGCAAACAAAGAAGAAGAATGCCAAAGAGGATGACCGTCTCCCGTGGCAAATATGGCCGACCGTGTCAAAAGATGATTGGGAAGAGTTCGTTAGAATGAAGAGTCAAAAGAAAGCCATTGTAAGTTTGTGTAAATCTGATCTCAATTGAATAATAGCTTGACACTTTTTGTATCAATGAGACTAACATTTTTGGTTTTGTAGGAACTTCAAGAGCAAAATCAAGCGAATGCAGAAAAGAAGGAATACGTCCATCGTATGGGTCCTAAGACTTTTGGTGAAAAGAGACCTGAGTGGGCCGCTTCGGGTTTATACCCTAAATCGCTTCTAGTGGCATCGAAGGAACCCTCTAGTTCCACGATCACTACATTGGTGAGTCGTGCCGGTGATTTCTTTTGTTCTCTCCATTCGTTTGATAAGATCGGAAAATGGTCCATCAAGGGTCCGGAAGCCAAAAAACTGGCGGATAAGCTTGTAAGTTACCTATGAATTGTTGAAATTAAGTCACTTTTGCATCTAATCACTGTACAAACCATTAACTGTTTTACTGACCTCATTTTTCCTTATGCTATAGCTTGAGCACACTCAAGAGTGGTGGAGGGCAAATTTGAACCAAGTGTGGAGAATGACCCTTTCACCATGGCTTTGGGAAGGCCATACCATCCAAGACGAGTAGTAGGTTCGGGAGGGTCATTGCTTGGATGGAACAAGGTGATGGGTCCCGAATACACAAAATCGGGTAGATCTCGAGCCAGTGTTAACTCACCAGGGGAGTTGGATGCCAAGGTGGCATCAATTAAGGAACAAGTACGCAACGAGTTAGTTGGTGAATTGAATGCTTGGGCGAAGCTGATGAACTTACCGACTTTGCCGTTCCTCACTAGTACCCCGGTCGACTCATGTTCTGAACCAAAAGGACAAGGAGAAGGTGATAGACATGGAGGAGATGAGATACGTGGTGAAGATGTGCCACCTGAGGTAAAATCAATTGGGTTATTGAAAGTTTTAAAATACCGAGTTAATTGAGATTTGAGGTGCAATGATTGATGTACTGTTGCAGGTTCCTACTCCTACACATGCGGACTCGAGGGAGCTTGAAAATCCAACACCGCATGAATTTCCAGAGTTACAGGTGATTTGTAACCCTCTACCTAAATGAATTTTGTTATATCTATGCTGTTGTAAAATTCCTATTTAACTATCTTCTTTTTATATATATACTTGTGTAGGAAGACACCCGGTGTGCACTTCTAGCCCCGGGGCATGCAAATAGTACCACGTTGATTTTGGTGGCGTATGGTAGTGCCCAACCGACGATGGGTGCTATGGCGGGGCCACATCATTACTCGGTTGGGATCGATTCAGTGGTTGCGGGGTTCGAAAACATCCCCCTACCCGTACCGATAGAGGAGGTTGAGATAACAACGCTTTGGCAAGCTGTAGGTAGTTTCGCAGATTGGCCACGTGCATGGGTGAAGTTGATTAATAAGGAGGTAAATTATTTAGTTCTCAATTTTTTTGGCGCATTTCATCAAAATAAAGCCAATTCGAGCCGAAATGGCTACTTACTTGCCTATTTTCTTCATTTCTCAACTTATAAACTCCTTGCATCTCAAAACAACTCAAAATCACATATTTATAAGTGTTTGTCATTTGAAATTACATTAAAATCGCTAAGTTCTAAGGTTTTGGGTCCAATTCATCAAAATAAAGCCACTTTGAGCCGAAATGGCTACTCACTTGCCTATTTTCTTCATTTCTCAACTTACAAACTCTTTGCATCTCAAAACAACTCATAATTACATATGTATAAGTTATTGTGACATGAAATTACATAAAATAAGAAAACTTCTAATGTTTTTGGCGCATTTCATCAAAATAAAGCCAATTCGAGCCGAAATGGCTACTTACTTGCCTATTTTCTTCATTTCTCAACTTATAAACTCCTTGCATCTCAAAACAACTCATAATCACATATTTATAAGTGTTTGTCATTTGAAATTACATAAAAATCGCCAACTTCTAAATTTTTTTTTTTTAAATATGCAACTTCCGCCGCACCGGGACACCCGAGAGAGCCGCCCCCGCTGCCGGAACAGCAAAGGCAGCCCGCGCCGAGGCCACAGCAGCCCCGACAGGTGGCTGCCAAGGCTGTAGCAGCCACGGCAGGTGGCTGCCAAACTGCTGCAGCCTCGGCAGCAGCCTGCCTGGGCGGCTGCAACCTCGACAGGCGGCAGCCATGGCTGCTGCAACCTCGGCAGCACCTGCCTGTGCTGCTACAGCCATGGAAGCCACCTATCGAGGCAGCAGCAGCCCAGGCAGGCTGCTGCCAAGGCTGCAGCAGACTGGCAGCCACCTGCCGTGGCTGCTACAGCCTTGGCAGCCACCTGTCGGGGCTGATATAGCCTCGGCACGGCTGCCTTTGCTATTTCGGCAACAGGGGCGGCTCCCTCGGGTGTCCCGGTGTGGTTGCCGTTGCATATTTTTAAAAAAAATTTAAGCAATTTTCATCATTTCATCAAAATAAAGCCATTTTGAGCCGAAATGGCTACTCACTTGCCTATTTTATTCATTTCTCAACTTATAAACTCCTTGCATCTCAAAAAAAAAACTCATAATCACATATTTATAAGTGTTTTTCATTTGAAATTACATAAAAATCCCCAAGTTCTAAGTTTTTGGGTCCAATTCATCAAAATAAAGCCATTTTGAGCCGAAATAACTACTCACTTGCCTATTTTATTCATTTCTCAACTTATAAACTCCTTGCATCTCAAAACAACTCATAATCGCATATTTATAAGTTTTTTTCATTTGAAATTACATAAAAATCGCCAAGTTCTAAGTTTTTGGGTCCAATTCATAAAAAAAAAAGCCATTTTGAGCCGAAATGGCTACTCACTTGCCTATTTTATTCATTTCTCAACTTATAAACTCCTGTCATCTCAAAACAACTCATAATCACATATTTATAAGTGTTTTTCATTTGAAATTACATAAAAATTGCCAAGTTCTATGTTTTTGGGTCCAATTCAACAAAATAAAACCATTTTGAGCCGAAATAACTACTCACTTGCCTATTTTATTCATTTCTCAACTTATAAACTCTTTGCATCTCAAAACAATTCATAATCACATATTTATAAGTTTTTTTCATTTGAAATTACATAAAAATCGCCAAGTTCTAAGTTTTTGGGTCCAATTCATCAAAATAAAGCCATTTTGAGCCGAAATGGCTACTCACTTGCCTATTTTATTCATTTCTCAATTTATAAACTCCTTGCATCTCAAAACAACTCATAATCACATAGTTATAAGTGTTTTTCATTTGAAATTACATAAAAATCGCCAAGTTCTAAGTTTTTGGGTCCAATTCATCAAAATAAAGCCATTTTGAGGCGAAATAAATACTCACTTGCCTATTTTATGCATTTCTCAACTTATAAACTCCTTGCATCTCAAAACAACTCATAATCACATATTTATAAGTGTTTTTCATTTGAAACAACTCATAATCACATATTTATAACTTATAAACTCATAATCACTTGACTATTTTATTCATTTCTCAACTACTAAATTTATACATTCTCAATTCATATCATAACTACATATATATAAGTGATTGTGAGTTGAAACTTATTATTTCTCAAACTATTTCAGATTTCTAATGGAAGCAAAACTTCAAAGAGAAAGAGGGTGGAGAAGCCTAAAAGAATTAATCAACCTAAGAAGAAGCTAAGTGAACAACAGTCCAAGAGTGAACAAGCGTCGAAGTTGCACTCTTCGAAAGGTTCACCCATGCCACCTACTCCATTTGTTGAAGACATTGTTCTTAAATCGCTCTCTACTGACATGACCTTTATTTACAACCGTGCTTGTCATTTGGTCGATCCCATGGAAGTTGCACTTCCTAAGGCACTGTTCCACTATGATGAGGATGCAATTGCATGGATCAGCAAAGAAGATGTGAAGGAATTTCTATGTGGTTCAAAGCTTAACATTTCCCTCATTCAAACATTCATGAGGTACTTCAATGCCCACATAATCTATACTTTTTTCAAGTTATTCAAATTGATGGTGATTATCCTACATCTGATAAATTATTCAATGTTCATGCACGCAGAGCACTACAAGAGCACTTAACTGACACTGATTCTCCTTTTAAAGTTGGGTGGTTATGCCCTGAGCAGTTATCCACTACTAAAATCATAGGCAACCCCCATGACGTGTTGTACTATGTTGAACAGAGTATAAGGGAATCAGCGCGTGCGGGAGACAAGTTCATATTCGCCCCATGTTATAGAGAGTAAGTCTAACCATGTCAAATTCAATCGATTTCGGCTCATTATATGTTGACTCCTAAATATTAATTACCTTGTCTATTGTGAACTTATGTAGGGAGCATTGGAGCCTCATGGTGATTTGTAATTCCACTAACACAATTTATCACCTTGATTCAGCTCGATCATCGGAGAAGTGGCTCGTGAAATCTATATTGCAAAAGTAAATATATATAGCAACCTAGTGATGATTATTGCTAATAATAACTAATTTAGTAATCATACGACTAATCAAATTTGAATGTACTTTTTTATACTACAATGTTATGAAGAAGCTACATTGTCGTGCTCCAAAGGGTCCAACATAGAAGACACCGTTGGTAATTTACATGATATTGTGATTATCTTGAAAACCTATGGTAGTAAATATTTGCTCATTTCCTTTGCATGTTTCACTGATGTGATTTTTTTTTCATATGCTAGTGCGCACAACAAGAGAATGGACTTGATTGTGCTTTGTATGTGATGAGATTCATGCTTGACATTGTGACTCATTGTACGGACACTCAACAACTTGATGAGGTAAGTCCTAAAACTTATTCAAATGATATATTGATGTGATTTCACTCCTTAGACACCTAATATTACCCAACAGTGGCATGTTATGAGAAACAAAAAAGCTATTTCACAAGAAAGGTAGAAAATGGGCTGAATAGAAGTCATATGGGCCATATTAGGGCCATTTTGTGTTAATATGCTCTTTTTATGTGATTTCTTTCCTTATACACACATAACTAGATAATATTGACATGTTATGAGATAAATAAAGTTCATTTAATATGAAATGTAGGAAATGGGCAAAGTAAGGTCATATAGGCCATATTCGGGCCATTTTGAGTAAAAAGCATCATAAACCTTAATAAAATACTCTCCTATACAATTTTAGGGCTTACACACATACAAATACCCAACATTGACATGTTATGAGAAAAAAAAATAGTTTATTTGATAAGTAATGTAGAAAATGGGCTACATAGAAATCATATAAGCCCTATTTGGGCCATGTTGACTAAAATGCGTTGTTAAACTTCTTGAAATGCTATATTGATGTGATTTTTAGCCTTAGACACCTAATATTATCCAACAATGACATGTTATGAGAAACAAAAAGGCTATTTCACAAGAAAGGTAGAAAATGGGCTGAATAAAAGTCATATGAGCCATATTAGGGCCATTTTGTGTTAATATGCTCTTTTGATGTGATTTCTTTCCTTATACACCTATAACTAGATAATATTGACATGTTATGAGATAAATAAAGTTCATTTAATAAGAAATGTAGGAAATGGGCAAAGTAAGGTCATATAGGCCATATTCGGGCCATTTTGAGTAAAAAGCGTCATAAACCTTAATAAAATGCTCTCTTATACAATTTTAGGGCTTACACACATACAACTATCCAATATTGACATGTTATGAGAAAGAAATAGTTCATTTGATAAGTAATGTAGGAAATGGGCTATATAGAAGTCATACAGGTAATATTTGATAAAATACATTTTATTGTTTGCCTAATTAACTATTTTTAAAATAATGTTTTTGTATTTCAAGTGTTGCAAGGTCCAAAAGGATGGTCCGTTGACAATCAAGGAGCTTAATGAAGTTCGTGACATGTTGGCGTCTTTTATCACCTTCAACATGTAAATGGCATTGTAATTGTAAATTATTTATGTTAACTTTTGAATTATATAACTTATTATTCATTATATATGTACTTACTATTATTTGTATATGTAAGCAATTTTTTTTTTTGTATTGCGTTTGGGAATATTTATATCTATATATATAATTGAATTCTTGTTTTTAATATTATTTTTGTATCTTATTGTAATAATTAATAATATTATTATTAGTTATTATAATAATAATATTATTAATTATTATATTTAATATAATTGCTGGAATTACAGGTTATTATTATTGCTGGAAACAGGTTTTGTTTTATAAATATTATTGCACGATGGGAAAAAAAAACGAAAAAAAAAAATTTGGTGAATAGGCACTGGTTAGGCAGCAACCGATGCCTAAAATATCTACCACCAAAAAAAAATGGCGGGAGAGCAGTTTTAGGCACCGGTTAACCGGTGCCTATTTTACCCTATGGCACCGGTTAACCGGTGCCTATTCCACCCTATGGCACCGGTTTTGAACCGGTGCCAAAAACCAAGTTTTTGGCACCCCTCACATAGGCAGCGGTTCAAACCGGTGCCTTAGACCGGGTTTGAACCGCTGCCAAATGCCTTTTTTCACCTAGTGCTTGATTGTCTTGTTGTTTCTAATTGATCAGAAAATGCACAATGAGGTGTGCTCTGTTCCAAAAATTACTTTTGTACTCTTCTTTGTCATATGTGTTTCAAGCTAACTCTAAAAATGTGCAGGCTAAATCTTGTGCTTCTGCAAGCATTGCTCGTTTAAAATCATTGGAAAGAAGGGTTGCTGATGTGCTGGCATCCAAATTGTATTCTTTCTATGAGCTTGGTCAGGTTTGTATGCGGTCAATGAGAATTATATATATTCATAATATGATTTATATGCTGAGAACTTGAATTACATGTGATTTATCTATGTTGCAGGAAACACTTTTGAACCTTCTGCTTCACAATTACCTCCATTACAGCTTGTATGATTAGGCTAAAAAGCTGAGGTCCAAGGCACCTATTTTTGGGGCTCACTCCAATCAGCAGGTATTCTCTATTACCTGTAACGCTAGTAATGTCTTTCTATAATTTCTTATGCACTAGTGTAGCAAAGAAGTATTTACACTAAGAAATCTGTGATCCTTTGTCGTTTCACATTTTGTACCTGCTCTTCTAATAATATGAGAAGTTGATTTGATAATTTTAGTAAAGTGATGTTGGTTGTTGCAAAAGTTAAAAAATTTAATCCTATATTAATGTTGTCATATTATATCTAATAACTGTTTGTGAACCTTTATTTCTGTTTCACACTTCTGGAAATTGAAGGCCTAATTGATAATTTAGTATAAGGAGGGTAGTTTCATGAAGTTGCTTTGTACTCTCTTTGTAAAAAAGTTGCATGTAGTTTTGTTACTTTCTAGCATTACTTTTGTTTCGAAAGTTCTTTACATTGTTGAGAGTATCATGCACCTGGCCTCTTTTGTTTAACGCCTGTCAAGTTTTTCTTTGAGCACCGCATCTTTATTGGGGTTGTACTGTAATATGTTTTACCCATTTTTATTTGGCTCTCTGGTTTTGCTTGTATGAATGGAATGTTATTACAATGTTATACCTTATTATGTGGTATAATTACTTATCCTAGGTCATTTTGTGGTTCAATTATGGGGGTATTTCTGGTCAAGTATGCACCATTATCTTCTGCTGTTGTCTATTTTTTCACCGACTACTGCATTTTTCTCTTACAAGTGCTTATTGTCTTATGATGATTCCGGTCTAATTCATTAAATTTTTTTTTTTTTTTTGCAGCATTGTCGACATCTCTTCTATGTTGGAAAGATCCAGACAATTCAGTTGGAATATACTGATGCAAAAGAGAGCCTTCTTCAGGTCGCTAGGAAAGCACCTATTGCAGCCCGTAGTTTAAGGATTAAGTACAACAAATGGGTTGTATAGTGCGATTATTACTAGAGGAAATACCTGAGAGAACAATGTTTATGCAGAATAAGTTTTTCTTTGAGCACCGCACCTTTACTGCCTTTAGAGGAAACAAGTGTAATTTGTTTTTGAGACTAAGAAAATAATTGTACTTGAGATTTGGTTTAATTTAGCTGTTCTTTTAAAGTTTTAGTTAGTAGTTTATTAATATTAATTGTTTTTTTTTTTAAAGAAATATTAATTGTATATTATATTTGTATAAAAATATATACATCTCATTAAATGATAAAATGGTGTGCAAAATCCAGCATTTTGCTTGATTTTTTTTAATTTGATTATACAGTATTCGTAACGGGAAAACCATGTCCCGTTACGGGTAACGGGGTTATTCGTAACGGGCACCTGAAAATCCAGTTACGAATAACGGGTTATTTGTAACGGGCTTTTCAGGTGCCCGTTACAAATAACAAAGGCCATCCGTAACGGCCGCATACGTAACGGACGCTGCCCGTTACGGATGGGTAGTTTTTGGCCGTTACGGATGATCTTATTTCCACTAGTGTTGTCAGTGCTTACCTTCTTCTTAGCTTTGTTGTATGATCAGAGGACGAACCCGCTCAAAGTTTTTGATTCTCATTGATCCAGAGCTAGAGAGGTCTTTATCCATACTACGAAGAGAAGCAAGAGCAAGGAGTAGAAACTCTCATACCCCGACGAAAAGAGTAAGAGAAGAAGAAGATACTCTGCCCTCTTCGCCCTCAAGTGAAGAATTAGGTAGCTCAAACTCATCACCAAGTTCGGTTATCAATCCTTTTTCTACCTTTGACTTTGAGAGTTTGAAGCCCCCAAAAATAGGAGAGAATACGCCTTTGAGCCGTCTTGGGGCTTCCGAAGCCTTTAGAGCGCAAAGTGGGATCTTAACTCCTACTACTCAAGCCAACAATTTCAAAATCAAGCCCAATTTGATTGCTTTGATAGAGAGGAAACAATTCTCAGGTGGAAAGTTTGAGATTCCTCATGAACATTTAAAAGAGTTCGAGAAATATTGTGATACAATAAAGGCCAATGGAGTGACTCAAGAATACATTCGACTCAAGATGTTCCCCTTCTCTTTAATTGGGAAAGGTTTAGAGTGGCTAGAGAAGGAGGTGCCCCCAAACTCTCTCTCAACTTGGGACCAAGTTACCATGGCATTCTTGAGAAGGTTCTATAATAATAGAAAAACCGCCGAAGCTCGATCTTTGATTCAAGGCTTCCGTCAGAAGAGTGGTGAGTCCCTAAGTGCGGCTTGGGAACGATACAAAGAACTCTAACGCCAATGTCCACATCATGGAATACCTAAGTATCAACTCATTCACACTTTCTATGGTGGTCTCTCACCTCAAGGAAGAACAAGCTTAGATGCCGAAGCCGGTGGACCAATCATGAACAAAAGAGAAGAGGAGGTGGAACAAATCATAGAGGAGGCCAGAAGGAATTATGAAGATTGGTATGAAGGAGATATGGATGCTACATCTAGCAAGGGTGTTTATGCTATAGAGCAAGCTAACGCAATCAACAACCTCTCCACCCAAATCTCCAAGATGACCAAACAAATGGATGAGCTAATGAAAGAAAAATCCAATCCTCAAAGGAACACCTCCCCTCCAACCAAGGGGAGCAATGGTATGAACGCCCCTTCTTCTTCTTCTTCTTATAATTTAATGCCTCATGGATGTATGTTTTGTGCTAATTGT